TTGTGAAGTCTGAGGGCAGCTACTAGGGTAAAGACACAGCTACCTACCACCTGAGTTAGAATAAAAACCAAATGCACTTCCTATCTCTGCCCAGAGGGTGCTGGGATTAAAGGTTCTGCCACCATGCCTGGTTCACATTTTATAAAATTTTTATTTCCCTGACAAATCCAAGCCAAAGATAATGGTTTTTCCTGCCCACCTCAGAGGGCCAGACCTCTTGGCTCAAAGGGATGGACCTCCTTTGGGTAGTGCTGCTTCTGCCTGTATGCTTACGTGAAGTTTTCTGGGACAGACCACAGACACCTTAGGGGCTGAGTTTCTCTCTTTTTGGAGAAAAGGAACAGGGCAATTGCATTTACTTATTTCATTCTGTCAGCAAAACAGAACTGCCTTTGCACTAAACAAGTGCCTTGGACTTTGCACCTGAAGATTGGCTGTGACACTCGAGACATTTTGGTGTATGTGGACATGTATCTCAGACTTTTTTTTGTTTTGTTTTTCAAGACAGGGTTTCTCTGTGTAGCTTTGTGCCTTTCCTGGATCTCGCTCTGTAGACCAGGCTGGCCTCGAACTCACGAAGATCCGCCTGCCTCTGCCTCTCGAGTGCTGGGATTAAAGGCGTGCGCCACCACCGCCCGGCTGTATCTCAGACTTTTAATGCAGGACTTGGGACCTCTGCTGAGTCTGTGGATTCAAGGGACATGTCATTGTTTTGTTGTTGCTGTGTTTACTACGTCCTCCCTTCCTTGTTCATGGGACATGGTACCTTTCCATTTTTTAATCTTATATATATGGGAATTTCAACATGTCAGTGCACCATGTATGCAGTGCCAAAGGAGGCCAGAACACCATGTCATATCTCCTGGACCTTGAGCCACAGAAAGGTGTGAGCTGCCATGTGGGTGCTAGGGATTGAACCTGGGTCCTCTGGAAGAGCAGCAGTGCTCTTAATTGCTGACCTGTCTCTCAAGGCCCTCATGTCATCTTTCTTTAAATGTGTAGCCCAGGCTGGCCTCGAACTTGTGATCCTCCTGCCTCCGCCTCCTTCAGCAAATCCTACCGGCGTGCGCCACCACAACCGGCTCATGTCATCTTTCTTAATTCTGCTGCCAGCACTTTTCACTTACCAAATGTGCAGTTTACTGTTGGATGTTTTTATTCTTTTGGGGGCCTGCCACCCAGCTCCCTAATAAGTCACACACAGAAGCTTATTCTTAATTATAAATGCCCAGCCTTAGCTTGGCTTGTTGCTAGCCAGCTTTCTCAACTTTAAATTATCCTGTCTCTCTTTGGCCTTGGGGCTTTTATCTTCCTCTATTTCTACATACCTTTCTTTGTTTCTTGCTCTGTGTCTGGCTGTGTAGCTGGGTGGCTGGGTGGCTGACCCCTGAAATCCTCCTCCTTCTTTCTGGGTCCTTTTTCCTTCTCCTCCCAAATTTCTCTATTAATTCTTTCTGCCAGCCAGCCTTGCCTATCCTTTGTGCTGCCTAGCCATTGGCCATTCAGCGCTTTATTAGACCATCAGGTGTTTTAGACAGGCAAAGTAACACAGCTTCACAGAGTTAAACAAATGCAACATAAACTAAAGTAACACACCTTAAAATAATATTCCCCAACAGTTTACAATTGAATAAGAACAGAAGGATTTTCTTTCTCAGAGGAATATGCAGAACTTGGAATATGTGTATAAAAATATATATAATATATATAATGCTGACTTAAATTTCCCTGATGTCTTATTTAGGGTTTCTGTTGCTATGAAGGAACACCACGACCATGGCAACTCGTATAAAGAAAACATTTAATTGGGACTGGCTGACAGGTTTAGTCTATTATCATCATGGCAGGAAGCTGAAGAGGTAGCTGACAGTTGTACATCCAGATTGGCAGACAGCAGTAAGACAGTGAGACTCTGGACCTGGCTTGAGCATCTGAAGCACAAAGTCCACCCTCAATGACACACTTTCTCCAACAAAGCCACACCTACTCAAGCAAGGCCATACCTCCTAATAATGCTACTACTCCCTATGGACCTATGGGTTTCATTTCACTGTGTAGCCCTGGCTGTCCTGGAACTAGCTTTTTAGACTAGCTGGCCTCCAAATTCACAGCGATCCTCCTGCTTCTGCCTCTCAAGTGCTGGAATTAAAGGTCACCACTGCCTGGTAGAAAATCTTATTTTTATACAGCTCAAGCTAGCCAGTGAGATTAGCCATATCAGCAAGCTCCAGGTTTGATTGAGATCCCTGCCTCACTGAATAAGGTGGAAGAGTCATGGAGGATGATTTCCAACATCAACCTTGGGCCTTGATATGCCGGCACATCCATGGGTATCTTCGTTACTTTTCTATTGCTGTGAAGAGACACCATGACCAAGGGGGGAAAAACATTTAATTGGGGGCTTGCTTACAGTTTCAGAGGATGAGTTGATGACCATCATGGCATGAAGCAAGACAGCAAGCAGGCAGGTATGGCACTGAGCAGTAACTGAGAGTGATTAAAGGCGTTCACCACCGCTGCCTATGTAGCTGAGAGTGAGACTGGGCCTGGTGAGGGCTTTTGAAACCTCAGAGCCCACCACAGTGACACACCTCCCCCAACAAGACCACACCTCCTAATCCTTCCCCCAACAGTTCCACCCATTAGGGACCAAGCATTCAAATGTATGAGCCCATTCTCATTCAAACCACCACAATAGGTACACGAACACTCATGAGTCCACACTTAAAAACATGCACATACACACACATAATACACATGTACTATGTACATACTTATATACATACATATTGTAGGTAGCCAGGCATTGTGGTACATACCTGTAATCATAGTTACTTGGGATGCTTAAGACCTAAGGATGGAAAGTTTAAGGCCAGCTTGGGAGACAAAACAGTACTTCTTAAGGAAGAAAAGCCAAGCATGGTGGCTCACGTTTGTAATCCTAGCTCTCAGAGGCTGAGGTCAGAGGAGTGCCAGGAGTTCAAGGCCAACCTGCCCCACAGTATGAGCCCCTCTAGAAACAAAACAAAAAGACGGAAGTCTAGCTCAGCTGGCAGAAAGTTTGCCTAGCATACACAAGGCCCTAGGTCTGATCCTCAGCACTGTATAGACTGGGTTCGGCTGCACATGTCTGTGATCACAGCAGTAGAAACACAAAGAAAGGAGGGTCAAAGTTCAAGACCAGCCTTGGCTACGGAGGGAATTTGAGTGTAATCTGGCCTAGAGAATCAGGGGGAGGGGGCGTGGGGGTGGGGAGAAAAAGGAAGGTCAATAAAAAAGTCTGGGTTGTGGCTCAGTGATTGTGTGTTTTCCATGCAAGAAGACTTAGGTTTGATTCGTATCACTGAATAAAAATTATTGTGAGGCTGAGGGCATAGTTCAGTGGTAAAGAGCTTGCTGAGAATAAGAAAGGCCTTGAGTTTGAGCCCCCAGCACAACAAACAATTATGAACTTTCACTCTTCTGAGCGGCCTTTAGTCATTTCCACAGAGACAGTGACCTGTGGTGTGGATCCGATGCTGATCCTGGAATGCCAATGTGCAGGACAACTTACAGAATGAACCTGCACCAGTGCCCCGTGTGCCCTAACGTGGTTGAAGACACCAAGATCCCTGCTCCACTCAGCCTGAGCCTAGAGATCCTCAAAGGATTCCAGATTCTTGTCCAGTGGACTCCTGGGTCATCCAGAGCATTGTGAGGCAAGACAGAACCAAAAAATGAAGCTACCGCTACCACGGCCCTGCCCATTCACAATGTGTTTATCTCTGAAGGGACAGGACGACTCAAGACAGACGGACGGGACTGCCCTTCCCAAGGTGGTATCAGGGGTTGGCCGCAGTGCTGATTTGGGATGGTGGCACATCATTTCAATCTGGAAAATCAATCAAATCTTCTTCTAGGCAGAACTGCAGATGGGCCAACACAGTTCCCTGGAGGTGTGAGGCCTGAAGCCTGAAGGGACCAGCAGGTAACTGGGCACCACAGCCTGAGGCCAGTCAGGATCAAGCAAGAGCATCCTGCTTCCTCCAAGGGTTTCTTTGCCTGAGGAAAGTGGAAGCTGGCACTCACATTCCTTCAGGATCTTCAGAAAATGGAGGCAAGGGTGATCCTGAAGCCCTACCCACTTTGTTTGGTGACCAGTGCCAGTCCAAACTATACTGGCATGCCAAAAATGACCACTTTCTTTTTTGCGGTTCAGGATTTCACTCCTTAATGGAGACAGACCCTGGGCTCCAAGAGAGAGGCAGGCGACGACATGAATTATAACACTGGGCCCATTTCCTGAAGCACAAGTACAGTGTAACTGTGACAGCAGATCTTGGGGACCTAAAAGGGGTGATGCTGAATGGAAAGAAAGTGACCTGCCAGCCATGGTGGAGCACACCTTTCATTCCTGCACTGTGGAGGCAGAGGCAGGTGGATCTTTTTAAGTAAGAGGCCAGCCTAGTCTACATAACACAGTGAGTTCCAAGCCAGCCAAGACTACATATTGAGACTGTCTCACAAAAAAGAAAAAAAGAAGAAAAAAAAGTGACTTGAGGTTCAGACAGGAGTCAGGATGGAGAGAGGGCCAGAGTAAGAAAGAAGTGGAGAATGGAATCTGAAAACTCCCCAAGTGTGGGTGACCTATGCCACAGGTGTGTGAGGCAGCCGGGGTTAGCTTTGTTAAGGTACTTTGACAGGGGAAAGTCTGACCATACTGCTGTGGCTTTCTACCCTGAATCCATCTTGAAGCATCGTGAAGTAGGATTCTCTGCCTCCCTCACAGTGTCCAATCCTGTGTGCCCAGTGATAGTTTGTAAGAGATTTGGGAAAATGTGCTAAAAGTTAAGGAGTTTCAGGAGTAAAAACTGTTATTAGAGCTGTAAGAGTCTTGGGCCTTGGCAACCTTAACAAACTAGGTTGGGCTACTCATTCTCAACAGGCCAATTAAAAAGACAAAGTTGAAGTGAAAAAAAAAAAAAAGAGCAGAGATATTTTAATTAAGGTGGCCACATTGGAAAGAACAGTGACGTCTAGTGACATTCTCTACTCCAAGTCTATCTCCAGGGTTCTGACAAGTGGTTTAGTTTAAGCTTACATAGAAGACAAGAGGTATGCCTAACTAAGCAGTCCTTTGTCAAGGTGTGGTCCCAGCCATCATCGGTTCATTTCCAGTTTCTCTGGTAATGTAGTCTGACAAGTTTTCGGAACTGTGAAATGTCTTTCCTGGAGTCAAGTTCCCCTGTTGACTGCCATCTGTGCCCTAGTCTTCTCCTTCTCCCAACATGAGACTGCCAGGGAAACTGCGACCTCTGGAGAGTCCAGTGTTTTAATAGTCTGATTACAAACGGTCATCCATCAGGGTCTCTAGAGTATCTTTAATCCAGCCAGGATGGTTAGAGGGCCGAGATTGGAAGGGCTATACCTACCGGCAGCGAGACAGCTCATGCTTACTTCCGCATGCCAGAGGATGAGCTGGCTGAAGTCGGAAATGTCCCGCCAGAAGGCAGGATTCCTGTGGCCGCAGCTTGGCCGCAGCTAAACCGCCATTGGCAAGTGGCAAGCGGAAGTTCTCCGAGGACACCAATTCTCCTTGCAACCCTTTAAGTCCCACCCCTCTGGTCTAGGCGGCGTCTCCGTGGCGACATGCTGCGATGTGCGGCTGCGCAAGAGTGACGGGGCTCGGGCGAGTGGGAGGGGGTGTTTTGGTTCTCGCCGCTCGCCGTCCTTTCCAGACCTGGCTGTCGGAAAGCTGCTCGGTCCTGCTTTGCCTTCCCCTTCCCTTCCCTTTCCCGACCCGGATTTTCCCTCCTTCCCTTTACGCGCCTTTCTTTGATCGGCTGCCGCCCGGGGTCCGGGCCATTTTCCGGGCCGGGCGCACGAAAGCGCGCGGCCCCGGGCCCGGTATATGATCCGCCGCCCTGCCGCCCCTCGCTTCCTCCGCCCCATGTGGCTGCGGGGCCACGGCGGCGCTGCCCACGATGGCCCGGAAAGCAGTTAGCAGGAAGCGGAAAGCGCCTGCCTCGCCTGGAGCCGGGAGCGACGCTCAGGGCCCGCAGGTGAGGGCTTACAGGCCTGGGATGGCCAGAACCCCAACAGAGGCGTAGGGAGTGCCAGCTGGGGCCGGGAACCAGGGGCCAGGGCGGGACAAGAGCCGGGGTCCGGGACTGTAGAGCCGTGGCCGGTCCTTCTGCAGTTTACTGGCGTGCAGGCGGGCCGGAAGGGTGAAGAGCCAAAAGGAAACTCCAACATGACGCCTTCCGCTGGAAGTCTGCAGCTGGGGATAGAGCTGGAGAAGCCAGGACCTCCTGGGTCCTGCAGGAAACTGAATTCAGGGGCAATCTGGGAAGAGACCGAAGTCAGCCTTCCGCTGACACCGTGAATGTGGGCTGATTGTCTCTTATCAAGGAAACAATCTTCCAAGCTAGATGCTGGTTCTTTTAGACACCTAGAAGAAATACCAGGTGTCATCTCTGTACTGCCCCCTTTGGAGAGGAGAGCCTCTCGGACTTGGGATTCCGACGCTGGTTACTCTTCCTTTGCACCCCGTTGGTATTTGAGTTTTCGAATTCTAAAACTGCCCGCAGCGCAAGTCGCGCGATGTCAGATGAGCGGCCATTGACCACATCCCTGGAAGACACGGGATCCCACGCTGGCACTTTGAATACCCTTTATGCTCTACGGGGAGCACAGGCGGAGAGGGAGAAGGGGGCTGGGTAGAAATGCAGCCCAGGTGGGTTCGGTAATCTGGGCCTCATTACCTTCCCTGTCAAGGACACCTGAGTATATAGGGTTTCTGAGTCCTCCACTTTCCTCAAAGGTCTGGGAAACGTTTCATCGTGTCTACCCATTTTCTAAGTAGGATTCACTGTGAGAATCGTTTTTCAGTGCAAGACGAGTTGAGCTGTACTTTCTGGGTTGTGAATCTTCTGTTACATTTTTGGTTGTGTAAATCCTGAAGGACGAGTTCTCGGTTCTTCTTCTCTAATACAGTGGGATTTCTTGTCTTCGAGGAAAGTGGCCAAACCTCTGATTTCTGATGTTGATTTCCACAGTTTGGCTGGGATCACTCTCTGCACAAACGGAAAAGGCTCCCCCCGGTGAAGAGATCCTTAGTGTACTACCTGAAGAACCGGGAGGTCCGGCTGCAGAATGGAACCAACTACTCGCGGGTGTTACATGGTTACGCAGCACAGCAACTTCCCAGTCTCCTGAAGGAGAGAGAATTTCACCTTGGGACCCTTAATAAAGTGTTTGCTTCTCAGTGGTTGAATCATAGGCAAGTGGTGTGTGGCACAAAATGCAACACGGTAAGTGTCAGGAGGACTTTTCTCTTGGATCTGAGGTGCGTGGTTTTACCTGCTCTAGAGCCTTTCGAGCGCATCGTCCCCATCTGTTTACATTTCCTTTTATATAAGCAGATTTGGAATCTGTTAAGAAATTTTTCATGGGCTGGAGAGATGACTCCAGTGGTTAAAAGCACTGGCTGTTGTTGCAGAGGTCCTGAGTTCAATTCCCAGCAACCACATGGTGGCTCTCAACCATCCGTAGTGAGATCTGGCGCCCTCTTCTGGCATGTAGACGGAACACTGTATACATAATTAATAAATCTTTTTTTTTTTTTTTTTTAAAGACTTTTCAGTAGTAGTGTTAGGACAGAGAGGTGCTCAAGGAAGGAACAAACCCAGGTGTGGTTCTGGGCTCCTCAGGAGAAGTGCCCCCAGGAGTGCCTTACTCTCATCCTTTCCACCCGCCCATCCCCTTTTTCCTGCTCCTTTTCACACTTCTGCATCTTCTGATAATGTCAGAAGAACACGTGTCTTTAGGCCCCTGGCTCTGTGTCGGCTGCTGCTTCTGGTGTTTTGGCTTCATCTTTTAAGTAGGAGACCTCAAAGGAAGGACAGAAATCGATGCTCAGCGCACCACTCAGGGTACATGATAGTGACAACTTAGTTGCTGTGTACCAGCCTTTGACACACGTAGAAGTGTCTAGAACTTGACTGAAAGCAGAAATAAGGCAAATATTCTTTCTCATGTAATGGAATCCAAACATAGCGCCTGGACAGCTAGGCGGTAGAATTGTTTATGTTCCAGACAGGACTGTCCACTGAGACCCTGTCTCGAAAGAAACAAAAAGGGATGATATGAACAGTTTACTATGAGACAGACAGCGGTGGCGGTGCCCGCCTTTAGACGCTATAGAAATGGTTGATGCTACAAGAGACAGGGCTGGTGTTGGATAAATGATTCTGTCTAGCCCTCCCTCCATTTTAACTCGCCTAGTGTGACTAGACGGGTAATGTTGAATGGTGAGTAAATTGACTCTGGACCGAAACATACCTGGGGTTACTTAAAAGAGAGGTTACTCTACATCGAGAAAACCTTGGCCCAGTGAGCTTGTTCAGTGGAAAGATGCTTGCCGCCCAAGCCTGGCAACCTGAGTTTGATCCCCAGAACCGACATAAAGGGTGGAAGAAGAGAACTGATTCCATAAAGTTGATTTTTTTTCTGACCGCCACATGTCTGCCATGGTACACACCACACCCAACAACACAAACACATAATAACAAATTAAAAAAAAAAAAATCTTGGGTGCTCAGTGGGCAAAAGCTGCCAAGCCTGCCAACCCGAGTTTGACCCTCAAAACCCATGTGATGGGGCTGGAGAGATGGCTCGGGGGTAAGAACACTGATTGCTCTTCCAGAGGACCTGGGTTCAATTCCCAGCACTCACGTGGCAGCTCACACCTGTCTGTAATTCCAGTTCCAGGGGACCTGACACCCATGGCAAAAACACCAGTGCACATAAAAATAAAATAACCCATGTGATGGAAAGAGAACAAGCTACCGCAGGTGACTGCACACGGTTGCTGTGGCATGTGTGCCCATAGCCAAATATAAATACAAATTTAAAAAAGACAAAATCTATCAAATGCCTTAACTACGAGAAGTGTCTTTATAAAGACCACAGGCCAAATTTTAAACAATTTTGAGGAAGGAAATAATACTATGGTGGTTGGGGCCAAATTTTCACTTCTCCTTCTGTTAAAGGTTGTTTGTGTTACACATAACACTTTCAAAACTAGGTGCTGGTAGCAAGCCTGCACAAAACTTCCTTTTTCTGATTTCAGACGTGCCCCAGTGGTTTAGGAAACTTATTGTTGACACTTGGAGTAGGAAAAGTATCTTGTTTCTTTAACCCATTGACAATATTGAAGGTGAGCATATTGACTAATAATTGAATGTATTCTGGACTGGAAAGATGGCTCAGCAGTGAAGGGCACATGTAGGTTTGATTCCCAGCCCCACATGTGGCTCACAATCATCCAGGAGATCTGATGTTCTCTTATGGCCTCTGAGGGCACCAGGCACATGTGTGCTGTTCAGACATACATGCAGACAAAACACCCATTCATAACATAAGTTTTCTACAAAATTTGCTCTTAATACCTACTTCTGTTTTCCTAACTTAAAAGTCTATTTTAGCCAGGCAGTGGTGGCGCAGGCCTTTAATCCTAGCACTCAGGAGGCAGCGGCAGGCAGATCTGTGTGAGTTCAAGGCCAGCCTGATGTACAGAGTGAGTTCCAGGACAGCCAGAGTTACACAAAGAAACCCTGTCTCAAAAAATCAAAAACAATTTTCATTTTTTAAAATTTCATGTGTATTTCATGTGGGTGCTGCGTTTGCCACAATGAGCACGTGGAGGTCACAGTTTACAGATGTTGGTTCTCTCCTTCCACCACGTGGGCTCCAGGAATGGGTCTCAGCCTACTGAGCTCAGTCCCCTCCTAACTTCATCCATCCTTTGCCTGTTCTCTTCCCTTTCGATGTTTGCCCTGGTTGTCCTGGAACTCGGTGTAGACCAAGCTAGCCTTGACCTCACAGAGATGTGCCTGCTTCTGCCTCCCCAATCCTGGGATCACAGTTGTGTGTAATCACTCCTGATTCCTAACTTAGACTTACTACCTCTGTCTTCCTATCTTCATGACTTAAAGTGCTTGGAAGTAGTGGAGGCTGTCTCATGTAGGCCAGGTTGGCATCTCTTTTACTGTATAGCCAAGGCTGACCTTGAAAATCCCAGTCCCCTAGCTCCTCTCTGATAACTGTTGGGATTGTACACAGGTCCTACCACACTTGGCTGTTTTCTTTTTTTCATTTTTATGTGTATGGGGACTTTGCCTGTATGTATGTCTGTGTGCCGTGTGTGCGGAGTACTTGAGGAAGTGGGTATTGGGTCCCCTGGAACTGTAGTTAACAGATTAGCCGTCATGTGGGTGCTGGGAACCAAACGGGGTCCTGTGGAAGAGCAGCCAGTGCTCCAGAACCAGTTGCCTTTTCTTTTGGTGGTGGTTGTTATTTGTTTTGGGGGGTAGGGGACAGGGTTTCTCTGTAGCTCTGGGTGTCCTGAAACTTTGTAGACCAGGCTGGACTTGAACTCAGAGATCTGCCTTCCTCTGCCTCCTGAGTACTGAGATTAAAGGCATGCACCGCCATGTCAGGCTGTTTTCTTTTTATAGTGTTATTTATTTCTTTGCTCAGCTTCTAGAACCAAAGCAGGGAACCAAGAACAGTGTTCTCCCCGCCCCACCCCCTTGACTTTGTGACATTTGGCAAATGCTTCCTACTTTAGTATTTCGTTATGTTGGGGGTAGGGTGGGTTGCAACCTGATCTTATGTAGCCAAAGCCTGCCTTGAACTCCTGAGCCTCTTGCCTCTCCCTCCCAGCTGTCCTTGGTTTTGTTTCTGTAAAACAGTAATAGCATTATCTGGTCTGCCAGTCCTCTGGAGACTAGCTGGGTGAGACCCTAGCACTTGAGGCTGAGGTGGGTGGGTCTATTGAGTTTCATGACAGCCAGAGCTACATAGTGAGACCCTGCTTTAAAAAGAAAAGAAAACTATGATCTGTGAGGGAGGTTTCGATTCCAGTATGGCAAGCTTCAGGTATCTAAAGAGAGTTGGAATGGGTTGTAAAGTCTGACCATCGAGGATTTTACTTTATAGGGGTATGGGAGACATGGGGAGAATATGGTTAAGATACTGCTTCAGGGAGAGCAAAATCCAAGAGGAATTGCCATGAGTTTTACTATGAGAGAGAATAGACTAAATCCAAATGATGAGGGAGAGGCTAGAGAGAGAGATGGAAGACGTTATCTCAGGTAGAATCTGAGATAATGTGCTTTTATCAATTAGTCGATGTTAAGGAGAAGGTAAGTTTGTATTGGGAGTTACTAATTTATAAATTTATGAAATAAAGACACCTTTGGTTTCAGTCTCATAACATTTTCTTAAAATTTCAAAATTTATTGTGTATATAAATTTTCTGGGCAAGATGTGGGATAGTTCCTAGTTTTCCTGTGATTTTTTTTCCCCCCCAAAAGGTGAGTGCTATTGAGCCAAAATGATGAAGGACCTTTGATCTTTAAAAGAGGAGCTCCACGCAGCCTTGGAGGGGACATCTGTGTTTACCAGGCAGGAGCCTGGAGAGTACACAGAGTACAAACAGGAGGAGGGTGGGGAGAGCAGGCGGTTTAAAGGGAAGGGTCTGATGTGCAGTTAGAGGCGTTTTGTTTATTTAGAAAGGTTTTTGCTGGTAGGCTTTTTTTTTTTGAGACAAGATCTCATACAGTCTAGGGTGGCCTTGAACTCCTGGTGTTAGGGTTGCCTCCTGGCTCTAGCTCTCAAGTGCTGGGATTACTGGCATGGATCACCCCATGTGGAGCTAGCTAGGTTTTGAGATGGGGTTTCTTTCCTTCCCTGTAGACGAGGTTGGCTTCTAACTGAAAGTGGTTCTCCTGTAAGGCACCATCCCTGGCAGAGATATTTCAGTTAGAGAGGAATTCATTTCTTATCGCGATGCCCTCTAGCCAAAAACTACCAGGGAGCCAAGTAGTAGAACAAGTGAGATAAACTCACTATAGTTAGGGATAACCTGTTCCATAGGAGGGAGGGCCTCCCTGTAAGAGGGTGTCGGAAAGAACTTGGAAAGGATTTGCGTTGGGTGGTTGAGAGGAAGTCTTAAGGACTCTGCTCTGGATGGGATGCTGTTAGGAAGTGAGGGTGAGTTCCTTGTACACCTTGTCTAGAAGGAAGGTAAAGCTGCTGCTGATGAAGCAGCCGCTCGTATTCACCAGGGTAAGGACGTGTTTCATCTGCTTGTGGCTTTGACAATAGTCGTGTTTGATCTCTGTTCAGAGATGATTAGAGAACAGCCTGTTCTGATGCTGATGAACACCAAGTCCTGGCCAAAGTGTCAGGCTCACTTTGGTGTTCAGGCTGCTTTTTCTTTCTCAGCGTCTCCTAAAGTCATGGC